AATAAAATATACTGAGTACAAGAGGCTCTCCCTCTCTCTCACACCAAAGAAAGGTATTAAACAAACCATGGAATAGAACAGATAACTAAAATATATGAACTTTAGTAGGGGGAGTAGGGGGTCACAGGGATCACATCTAAGAATGCAAGAAATATTCATGATGACTAAAGTACCACAGCCTGAATTATGGAAACCCTAACAAACATATAAGGCAGGTACATGCAGTGGCGTACATACCAGGGTCGCAGGGGTCGCGGCTGCGACCGGGCCCGGCCCACCAGGGGGCCCGGCCGCCCCTGCGACCCGGTATGTACTCCCAGGGCCAGCTTCTTCCCCTGGGGGGCCCAGGAGCCGGCCACCCCAGGGCCCCCCGAGGCTGGCCCTGCTGACCCCAGCAGGCAGGTGGCCGGTCGGGCAGGTGGGCGCGCAAGGGAGCACTCAGTGCTTCCTCTTCAGCTCCCTCGCGCACCGCACTGATACCGGAGCCGGAAGATGACGTCATCTTCCGCGCCGGCATCCCTACGCGGCGCGCGAGGGAGCTGAAGAGGGAGCACACAGGGGAAAGTGCTCCCTCGCGCGCCGGCCGGCCAGGCAGCCCACCCACCCAGGAGCCCAGCAGCACCACTGGACCCCAGGGAATCCCCCCAGCACTCCAAAAGGTAAGGAGGCTGGGGGGATTAAATTTGAAAAAAAAAATGTGTGTGTGTGTTAGTATGTGTTAGTGTATGTGTGTGTGTTAGTGTGTGTGTGGTAGTGTGTGTTAGTGTGTGTGTGTGTGGTAGTGTGTGTGTGTGTGTATGTGTGTGTTAGTGTATGTGTGTTAGTGTATGTGTGTGTGTGTTAGTGTGTGTGTGTGTGTGTGTGTGTCGTGTTAGTGTGTATGTGTGTGTGTTAGTGTGTATGTGTGTGTGTGTGTATGTGTGTGTGTTAGTGTGTGTGTTAGTGTATGTGTGTGTTAGTGTGTGTTAGTGTATGTGTGTTAGTGTGTGTTAGTGTATGTGTGTGTTAGTGTGTGTGTGTTAGTGTGTCAGTGTTTGTTTGTGTTAGTGCGTGTGTTAGTGTGTGTGTCAGTGAATGTGTCTGTTAGTGTGTTTGATGTCTGTTAGTGAGTGTGTGTTTGTCAGTGAAAGTGTATGTATGTCTGTCGCTGAGTGTGTCTCTGTCAGTAAATGTGTGAGTGTGTCTGTTAGCTAGTGTGTATGTGTCTGTTCGTGAGAGTGTGTGTGTGTGTCTTCAGCATTTACCTTTCTCCAGCGTCGGACTCCACAGTGTCTGCCACTCAGCTCCGAAATGCACATGCGCGGCAAGAGGCGCTCGCATTTAAACCGCCCATAGGAAAGCATTACTCAATGCTTTCCTATGGACGTTCAGTGTCTTCTCACTGTGATTTTCACAGTGAGAATCGCGGAAGCTCCTCTAGCAGCTGTCAATGAGACAGCCACCAGAGGCTGGATTAACCCTCAATGAAACATAGCCGTTTCTCTGAAACGGCTATGTTTTCAGCTGCAGGGTTAAAACTAGAGAGACCTGGCACCCAGACCACTTCATTGAGCTGATGTGATCTGGGTGTCTGTAGTGGTCCTTTAAGTGTGTGTGCATACCGCGGTCGCGGGGTCGCAGCCCTGCAACCCCTGCGACCAGGTGCCCGCCACCATGTGTTGCGACCCCGACCCGCGCTGAGTAAGCGCGCGGGGGGGGGGCCCACGGATCAATTTTTGCACCGGGCCCCATGGGTCATGTGTACGCCACTGGGTACATGTCTGAAATTAAAAAAAAATAATAAAAAAAAGTTGAAGGCTTCTCTACGGGTCGATTTCCGCCAAATAACAAACGAGCTGCGGAAAGACATGGCAGGTATTGGAGGTCGCACGAGCCACCTAGAAACGAAAGCGGAGGAGCTATGCACAGCCCACAACAAGGTAGTTGACAAGCTGCAGAAAGTGGAAGAAGAACAGGCGTCACTAAAACATAAAAATGGCGGACATGGTAGACAGGTCACGGCGCAACAACTTGCGCTTCCGTGGCATCGGAAACTCCATCCCCAACGAGGCCCTACCACAATACCTTAAGGCCTTATGCAGGTCCCTAGTACCTCAGCTCGAGGAATCCGCCTGGGAGCTCGACCGAGTGTACCGCCTGCCTCGACCGTCACGCTTTATTGCGGACTCACTGAGAGATACCATAGCACGCTTCCAGGGGAGGACTGACCACTCATAGAAACATAGAATGTGACGGCAGATAAGAACCATTCGGCCCATCTAGTCTGCCCAATTTTCTAAATACTTTCATTAGTCCCTAGTCTTATCTTATAGTTAGGATAGCCTTATGCCTATCCCACGCATGCTTAAACTCCTTTACTGTGTTAACCTCTACCACTTCAGCTGGAAGGCTATTCCATGCATCCACTACCCTCTCAGTAAAGTAATACTTCCTGATATTATTTTTAAACCTTTGTCCCTCTAATTTAAGACTATGTCCTCTTGTTGTGGTAGTTTTTCTTCTTTTAAATATAGTCTCCTCCTTTACTGTGTTGATTCCCTTTATATATTTAAATGTTTCTATCATATCCCCCCTGTCTCGTCTTTCCTCCAAGCTATACATGTTAAGATCCTGTTACGGTACCTCCAGTAATAAAATGGACAAACCGCCGTTTAGCGAATATTCCCCGTTCGCAATAATGTGGTCTGGTAGCGGGTATAGTAAAACCATGCGAACCGCCAGCTAAGGAACACTCCAAACTCCCGAACGGTACCTGTACGGCTCTTTCCCTTCACGAGCTCCAAATCCACGAACTGCCAATAGTAACCGAACGCCAATATCTCCCAAGCGGCAAATAATCCAAATAAGCAGTCTCTAGTCGCCGGTAATAAAATCCCCCCCAATAACGAGACCAAGCTCCGTTTTGAGGGTAAAACACGAACTGATTTACTGTGGGCTACCTGCCCGGTATTTATGCAGGTCTCCCACCTGGTGGACACTCCCCTAGGGGACCAAATGGGAGAGTGGAATTACAGAAGGACATGGGGACATTTTGGACACACATCCCCACAATATTCCCATCATGCATCACAGTTCCCTCCCCTCTGCTCGGGGGATAACTGGGAAGTAATTCAATTATCTCCCCGAGCAGAGGCAAATCGCCATTTTAAATACAAGTCACAAAACACATAAAAATCTATAACTTTATAACTGCCGAAAATATTGCATTCGTGTAACACATCCCCAGATAGCCTGGATCTGAGTGCATATTATTGGCGAATAGCGCTCAGATCCCATTCGCATAGTTCAATCGCCATGGAGTCAAAGTCTATTACAGTTCTTCGGTATGCGATTGACTCAATGGGACGGCTATCTGGGTTTAGTCCATTCGTGTTGTTGAATCTCCCGAACGGCCGGCATTCGTATACTTTTGTCGATTGAGAAGGGGAGGTTGACGGCTTCAGCAGTGTTCGGTTGAAAGTGTCCGTTTTCAGATCCATGAAATAAACGTCGAACACCGCTGGTCTTTCGCATGGTTAAAATGGCCGCCGCCTCGTGGTCGACATACGAACGACGACCACCCGGCATTCGGTTTTAATTGAGAAGTGTCTGTGGTTAACCGCAACGTTCTAATTGGGATCAATAGGTTAACCAGCAGCACACTTCTCTTCTGGGTGGCCGTCCGTTCGGTAGTTCCGTTCGACAAAAACCGACATTCCCTTAAACAAAGCATACGAATGGGGAAATTCATGCAACCGGCAAAACAGACGAACACAGTACTTTTAATCCCGACAGATGGGTCTGTCACAGATCCTTTAACCTTTCCTGGTAAGTTTTATCCCGCAATCCATGAACCAGTTTAGTAGCCCTTCTCTGAACCCTCTCTAAGGTATCAATATCCTTCTGAAGATACGGTCTCCACTACTGTGTACAATACTCCAAGTGAGGTCTCACCAGTGTTCTGTACAATGGCATGAGCACTTCCCTCTTTCTACTGCTAATACCTCTCCCTATACAACCAAGCATTCTGCTAGCATTTCCTGCTGCTCTATTACATTGTCTGCCTACCTTTAAGTCATCAGAAATAATCACCCCTAAATCCCTTTCCTCATATGTTGAGGTTAGAACTCTATCAAATATTCTGTACTCTGCCCTTGGGTTTTTACGTCCAAGATGCATTATCTTGCACTTATCCACATTAAATGTCAGTTGCCATAATTCTGACCATTTTTCTAGTTTACCTAAATCATTTGTCATTTGGCTTATCCCTCCTGGAACATCAACCCTGTTACATATCTTAGTATCATCAGCAAAAAGACATACCTTACCATCAAGACCTTCTGCAATATCACTAATAAAAATATTAAAGAGAATGGGTCCAAGTACAGATCCCTGAGGTACCCCACTGGTGACAAGTCCAAGCTTCGAATATATTCCATTAACTACAACCCTCTGTTGCCTGTCACTCAGCCACTGCCTTACCCATTCAACAATATTTGAATCCAAACTTAAAGATTGCAGTTTATTGATAAGCCTTCTATGTGCATATCGGTCATGGACCGAGGGCCCGAGGCAGTCAGGGGCCCGGCAGCACAGCCATGTTCCAGCTGGAGAGATCAGATCAGAGATCTCTCCAACTGGAACAAAAAAAAATAAAACTATTTAATTGATAGGTTGTGGGGCCCCTGATGCAGTGCGGGGCCCTACAACCTACCGCTCTGCAAGTCCATCCCCCCCATGAGACCTGGCAGCTTCACCTCCTCTCTGCCAGGTCTCCTTCTCCCTGTCCCGCCGTGCTCTGTGTGATGGGAGAGGCGGGGACATCACTTCCTGTTTACTCCTCTCACACAGAGCCCAGCGGGGAAGGAGCTGAAGCCAGGGAGAGAGCAGAGGAAGCAGAGAGACAGGTAGGCACTAATCACATCCCCACCCCCCCCACTGTCACTAACCCCCCCACTGTCACTAATCACCCCCCCACTGTCACTAGTCACCCCCCTCACTGTCACTAATCCCCCCCACTGTCACTAATCACTAGTCTAGTGACAGAGAGAGGGAGGGTGTGACTAGTGACAGAGAGAGGGAGGGGGTGACTAGTGACAGAGAGAGGGAGGGGGTGACTAGTGACAGAGTGAGGGAGGAAAGGGGTGACTAGTGAGGGAGGTGGTGATTAGTGACAGAGGGAGGGATGGGGTGACTAGTGACAGTCACCACCTCCTTCACTCTGTCACTGTGTCACCCCCCACTGTCACTAATCACCCCCCCACTGTCACTAATCACCCCACTGTCACTAGTCACCCCCACTGTCTTGCTACCCCCCATATCACTAATCACCCCCCACTGTCACTATTACACCCACCCCCACTGTCCACTAACCCCCCATCACTAATCAACCCCCACTGTCACTAATCACCCCCCACTGTCACTAATCCACCCCCTGTCGCTAATCACCCCCCCACTGTCACTAACCCCCACTGTCACTAATCCCCCCCCACTGTCACTAACCCCCCACTGTCACTACTTTACTTTCACCTAATCACCCCCACTGTACTAATCACCCCCCCTCACTTATTCACTAGTCACTTGCTGTCTTCTAATCACCCACTGTCACTAATCACCCCACCTCACTGTCACTAGTCACCCCCCCACTGTCACTAATCACCCCCCGCATGCTGGTGCTTTACTGTCACTAATCACCCCATCCCACCGTCACTAATCACCTCCACCCACTGTCACTAGTCACCCCCATCGCTAGTCCACCCCCCCCCACTGTCACTAGATCACCCCCCACACTGTCACTAATCACCCCCCCTCCACTGTCACTGGTCACCCCCCCTCACTTTCATCCCCCCACAGTGTCACTAGTCACCCCCCACTGTGTCACTAGTAACCCCCTCCCTCACTCTGTCACTAGTCACCCCTTCCCTCACTCAGTCACCCCTTTCCTCCCTCACTTTGTCACTAGTCACCCCTTCCCTCCCTTACTCTGTCACTAGTCACCCCGTCCCTCACTCTGTCACTAGTCACCCTCTCCCTCACTCTGTTACTAGAGTGAGTGGGTGACTCTAGTGACAGAGTAAGGGGGGGGATGACCAGTGACAGAGGGAGGGGGTGACTAGTGACAGAGTGAGGGACGGGGTGACTAGTGACAGAGTAAGGGAGGGGATGACTAGTGACAGAGGGAGGGATGGGGTGACACAGTGACAGAGGGAGGGGATGACTAGTGACAGAGTTAGGGAGGGAGGGAGTGACTAGTGACAGAGGGAGGGATGGGGTGACTAGTGACAGTCACCATCTCCCTCCCTCTGTCACTAGTCACTCTCTCCCTCATTCTGTCACTAGTCACACCCTCCCTCACTAGTCACCCATTCCCTCCCTCACTCTGTCACTAGTCACCCATTCCCTCCCTCACTCTGTCACTAATCACTCCCTCACTCTGTCACTAGTCACCCTCTCCCTCACTCTGTCACTAGTCACACCCTCCCTCACTCTGTCACTAGAGTGAGGGAATGACTGGTGACAGAGTGAGGGAAGGGGTGACTAGTGGCAGAGTGAGGGAAGGAAGGGGTGAATGGTGACAGAGTGAGCGGATGACTGGTGACAGAGTGAGAGGGGGATGACTAGTGACAGAGTGAGTTAGGGGGATGACTAGTGACAGGGTGAGTTAGGGGGTGACTAGTGACAGAGTAAGGGACCCAGGGGGTGACTAGTGACAGAAGGAGGGAAGGAGTAGTGACAGAGGAAGGTGGTGACTAGTGACAGAGTGAGGGAGGTGGTGACTAGTGACAGTCACCACCTCCCTCATTCTGTCACTAGTCACCCCTTCCTTCCCTCACTCTGCCACTAGTCACCCCTTCCCTCACTCTGTCACTAGTTACCCCCTCACTCTAGTGACAGAGTGAGGGAGGGTGTGACTAGTGACACAGAGAGGGAGGGGTGACTAGTGACAGTGGGAGGAGTGACTAGGGACAAAGTGAGGGATGTGGTGACTAGTGACAGTCAACACCTCCCTCACTCTGTCACTAGTCACCACCTCCCTCACTCTGTCACCAGTCATCCCTTCACTCTGCCACTAGTCACCCCTTCCCTCACTCTGTCACCCCCTCACTCTAGTGACAGTGAGGGACGGTGTGACTAGTGACAGAGAGAGGGAGGGGGTGACTAGTGACAGAGGGAGGGATGAGGTGACTAGTGACAGTCACCACCTCCTTCACTCTGTCACTAGTCACTCCCTCCCTCACTCTGTCATTGTGTCACCCCCTTCCTCACTCTGTCACTAGTAACCCCCTCCCTCACTCTGTCATTGTGTCACCCCCTTCCTCACTCTGTCACTAGTCACCCACTCCCTCCCTCTGTCACTAGTCACCCCCTCTCTCACTCTGTCACTAGTCATCCACTTCCTTACTGTCACTAGTCCCAGCCTCGCTCACTCTGTCACTAGAGTGAGGGGGTGACTAGTGACAGAGTGAGGGTGTGACAGGTGACAGAGGGAGGGGATGACTGGTGACCGAGTGAGGGAGGGGGTGACTAGTGACAGAGTAAGGGACGGAGGGGGTGACTAGTGACAGAAGGAGGGGGGAGTAGTGACAGAAGGAGGGGGGACTAGTGACAGAGTGAGGGAGGTGGTGACTAGTGACAGAGTGAGGGAGGTAGTGACAGTCACCACCTCCCTCACTCTGTCACTAGTCACTCCTTCCTTCCCTCACTCTGCCACTAGTCACCCCCTCACTCTCGTGACAGAGTGAGGGAGGGGGTGACTAGTGACAGAGTTAGGGAGGGAAGGGGGTGACTAGTGATAGAGGGAGGGGTGACTAGGGACAGTCACCCCCTCCCTCACTCTGTCACTAGTCACCCCCTCCCTCACTCTGTCACTAGTCACTCCCTCCCTCCCTCACTCTGTCACCAGTCATCCCCTCACTCTGTCACTAGTAACCCCTCCCTTCCCTCACTCTGTCACTAGTCACCCCCTCACTCTAGTGACAGAGTGAGGGAGGGTGTGACTAGTGACAGAGAGAGGGAGGGAGGGGGTGACTAGTGACAGAGAGAGGGAGGGGGTGACTAGTGACAGAGAGGGAGGGAAGGGGTGACTAGTGACAGAGGGAGAGAGGTGGTGATTAGTGACAGAGGGAGGGAGGTGGTGATTAGTGACAGAGGGAGGGATGGGGTGACTAGTGACAGAGAGAGGGATGGGGTGACTAGGGACAGAGAGGGTGATTAGTGACAGTGAGTGAGGGAGTGACTAGTGACAGAGAGAGGGATGGGGTGACTAGTGACAGTCACCCCCTCCCTCTGTCACTAGTCACTCCCTCCCTCTGTCACTAGTCACTCCCTCCCTCTGTCAATAGTCACTCCCTCCCTCTGTCACCAGTCACCCCCTCCCTCTGTCACCAGTCATCCCCTCCCTCTGTCACCAGTCACCTCTTCCCTCCCTCACTTTGCCACTAGTCATCTCTTTCCTCCCTCCCCCACTCTGCCACTAGTCACCCATTCCCTAACTCTGTCACTAGTCACCCCCTCTCCCTCCCTCTGTCACCAGTCACCCCTACTCACTGTGTCTCCCCCTCACTCTGCCACCACTCAACCCCTCCTTCCCTCACTCTGCCACCAGGTACCCCCTCACTCTGCCACCTGTCACAACCTCCCACACTCTTCCACCTGTCACCTTCTCCCTCACACACTCTGCATTCACAGAGACACTATATACAAAAAAGCACATGTAGTCATCCAGACATGCACAAGTGCATTCACACAGACTCAAATACAAACATGCATTGATACACAGGTCTTGACAATATACACATCCAAAGGAATGCCGTATTATGAGTTATATTTAATGCACGTATATTTGGCCTTCAAAGGGCCTAGGATCTAATTTTGCCCGGGGGCCCCAAAGGCTCTCAGTCCGCCCCTGCACGCTTCCATTACTACAAGTCCAAAGAGCAGCTGCTGAACGCTGCAAGGAAGCTCACAGACCTCCCTGAACCATACCAGGGCATCCACATTTACGCTGATCTGTCCACGACCACGATGGCAAGAAGACAAGAGTTCATAGATGTCACCAAGACGCTGTGCAACAATAACATTCCGTATAGATGGGGATACCTCACGTAATTGCTGGTGTGTCACGGGGGGAAGACGGCGGTGATTCTGGAGCCAGAGGTGGGCCTAGCAAAGCTGAAGGAATGGGGCCTACACCACACACAGGGAAATACCTTGCCTAAATGCCCCTCACCAAAGAAGATGAGATCGGAGTGGAAAATGGCAGTAACCGCAGCGGGACCTAGCCTCCAGGCTCGATAAGAGGGAACACATGGGACTCCTCATTGCTAGCACTTGAGTATCACAATTGTCTCACAATGTTTATACCTTAGAAAGACAGTTTATAGATGAAGTTATTGTATGTTATTCAAACAGATACTGCTAAGTTCCTCATAGTTTAACATAAGGTCATGAGGTAATCCATGGGACACCCCGCTATCTAACAATGGAGTACCACAACGGTTTTACACTGTTTGGGAGACAGCCATGAAGCCCATATATAATGTTAATACGTGTTCTAAAAATTGGTGTGGATTACTCCCCCCATAGCACAACATAAGGTGAAGCTGGGATGGACACTTGTCCGAGGACCCACCGCGTTTTCCCCTCCGGGGTCTTACTGGTATTATAACACCCAAACCCGGGAGACCCTCAGTCCCTAGACGACGCACACGGGTAAAACACTCAGCATCACACTGTCTGACCAGGGATATAGGCTGGGGGGTATGTACAATGCATGATCTAACTCTAGATCACTTCTACTGAACTACATTGGACTACATTTTTTTTTTTAAATAGCGCTAACAGGGTTCCCAATGACAATAAAAACAGTATTTGTATAGGTGTATAGGCAAAAAACAAACCAACAAAAAAAATAAAAAAAAATTAAATTAGAATAAAAAAAAATTATAAATAAAAATAAAGATGACAGGCGATACTCACATGATCGCATAGCAAAGCCCTCTATGTTTACTCTGACCTCTGGTATCCCTTGACTTCGGCTACTCTTCAATGATTCTGACCTTTGGCATCCTTTGACTTCGGCTATCCCTTGATTATTATGCTGTTTGTGTCCTTGCCTGTACTGCATCTTGGAACTTCATCCTGCACAGCCCCCGTGCACAGACTCATAGGCCAGGTGAATTCTTACCTGACCACCTTGGCCTGTGTCTATTTGCAAGGGTGAGCAAAATATCTGTGCTACAGACTCCCAACTCAGGTAAGATTCCTGATAATCATGGCCTTATACCGCTCCCCCTCGGCCAAGATCTTTAACACAGGCTTTCTATCCAACCCCTTTTCCATTAGCAATGGCACCCGGCAGGGTTGACCACTCTCCCTGCTTATATTTATTTTATGTTTGGAGCCCCTAATATACCACATTAAAAACCACATAGGAATAGTGGGCCTCGCCACCCCGTCGGGCTCCCAAAAGTTAGCACTATTCGCTGACGATGTTCTGCTATTCCTTACTCAACCAGACAAATCTATCCCAGCACTGTAGAAACTGCTGGACCACTACGGAACAATATCCTACTACAAAAGCAACACAAAAAAAACTCATGTGCTACCAATTGGCCTTCGCACAAATAATTCATAAACATTATAAACCATATACCCCGTCTGAAGAAAAACATCCCTAAAATACATAGGAATAAATCTAACCAAAACGAACTCTAAACTCATACACAATTCCCACAAACTGCTGCACAATTACATAAATGGCAGGGCTTAGAAATATTGTGGCTGGGACGCATTCACACGGTTAAAATTATGTCCTTACCCCATGTACTATATTTATTCCGCACTATTCCCATAGTCTTACCAGATAGTCTTCTCTGGAAATTTCAATCCATTCTTAATGCATACATTTGGAAGAAAAAAACACCCAGGATAGCTAGGAGACTATTGTGGCTTCCCACGAATAAGGGCAGTTTGGGCATCCCTAACATTAAGGCCTATTATAAGGCCTCAGTTCTGGTACAGGGATTGGCCGTACTAACACAAACTAAACCCCCAGTGTGGAGCCCCCAAGAAAACATCTGCCTATTCCCAGACACAATCAGTCCTTCTTGCAGATGGGCCATAATACAAAACCCCAACTCCCTAGCACCACCTTCTTACTCTTAGGTTGGAAGAGATGGGCACGGGAACTGGTGGGTTCAGCACACCCTCTTTACTATGCACTTTTGTCAAGGCTCATGATCTAGCCAAGGACATTCCATTGGGGCCCTGGACCCGTGGAGGGATCATGACCATCGGATCCTTGTTCACAGTAGGAGGTATCAAACAATTCCCTGAATTACAGACAGAATTCTCACTCCCCTCTAGGGAACTCTTTACGTACATTCGCATCAAACATATCTTAAGCTCAGCAAATATACAACACTGTGAGGACACTAGGCATGTGGGAAAATATTTGGCTCGGTTCGGCATTCAGAAATTCGGGACTTCTGCAATTCGGCACTTCGGCAACTTCGGCACTTCGGCTCTTGAACACCATCCAATCAGAGTGCTCTGACAACTAAATGAAGAGACTGACAGGTAAGTCTCTACATTTACCTGTCACAGCACTCTGGTTGGTTTGAAATTCACCAATCAGAGTGCTCTGTGTTATTTTACACAGCGTGGGAAAGTTCTTTGGAATTTTCCCACGCTGTGTAATTTGACTCATAACTCTCTGATTGGTGGATTAAGTAACCAATCAGAGTGTTATGAGTCAAATTACATAGCGTGGGAAAATTCCAAAGAACTTACCCACGCTGTGTAAAATGACACAGAGCACTCTGATTGGTGGATTTCAAACGAACCAATCAGAGTGCTGTGAAAGGTAAATGTAGAGACTTACCTGTCAGTCTCTTCATTTACCTGTCAGAGCACTCTGATTGGATGGCTTAAACCCACCAATCAGAGTGCTCTGAGCCTAATTGCGGGGGCAGGGCCTTATATGCCTTCCCCCGCCCTGCACTCAGGGGTGGGGGCCAGGGGGGAGGACATTAGGTCCCCCCCCATTTGTATTTAGGGCCCCCACCCAAAGCTCAGGGGTAGGGGCCAGGGTGGAGGACATTAGGTCCCCCCCCCTCTTATTTTTGTTTAGGGCCCCCACCCACCGCTCAGGGGTGGGGGCAAGGCGGGAGGACATTAGATGTCCCCCTTTATTCTTGTTTAGGGTCCCCACCCACCACTCAGGGGTGGGGGCCAGGGGGGGCAATAGGTTTAAAAGCCCCCACTCGCACGTCGCAGGTGGGGGCTCAGGAGGGGGGACCTTTTTTTTTTTTTTAAACAGTGAACAGCCACTGTTTAATAGACATGCCCCTATTCGTGACTCACGGTATAGCGAGTAGGGGCATAATTTACCAATGCTAAGTAATCTTTACTTAGTATTAGTAAATTTGGCTGAAAGACCAATTCAGGTCTTTCAGCCTTTTAGTAGATAGCTCCTTAATAGCTTGGGAATTAGGGAGTTATCTACTTATTTATTCCTGTCTTTACATTGACTGGCTAAGTAACTTACATTTTATATGAATGTATGCTACTTGATTGTTGTAAATGTTGCAAATGCTTACAGCTGAATCCTGGCTATGTTTGTATACTTTTTATTTAAAATGGTATACAATGTAACATTCTTCTTCTTCCACTGGGTAAGTATATTAGTACTTAGGCAATATTGTGCTTCGGAACTTCGGCACACTGGAAATTCAGTAATTTTGGCACTTCGGCACTTTGGCAATTCAGCTATTCAGACATTCGGAAGCATGTCTAGAGGACACGCAGTTGACTACCTTTGGTCGAACCTGCATAAGCAAACGACCAACCCTTAAACCCCTCTCCATTTGCTACAACACACTCAACAATGCTGACAGTAATAACAAACACAGTACATGTTGCTGTGGGAACAAGACCTCAACACAACTTTCCCATATGGCTTCAAACACTCCAAATAGCATG